CCCCCCCCCCCCCCCTCCCCCTGCCTCTTCCGTTTGGTCGAATATTAAGCCTGGAACGAAACCTTGTGAGGGTTCTACTTCAGTCTTTGTTTCTATAAACAAGGTCAGGGGAACCGGCCAGGTTTTTAGGACACGCTTGAGCATCCAAATACCCCAAGACCGCCTTTGTAGAGAAACGTGTACATTTCGGAAAATATACATCTAGACTTTTGAACAAGGTCGGAGGTGGTGTAGAGGCAAGTGGCGCACTTCACGCAGGCATGGTCGCGGGTTCGAATCCCGGATCGATATCTGCCTCGGCCAACCAAGCCTTCGTCCTTTCGGGGTAAGCAAATTGGTACCGGACTCGTCTGGGAGGATAAAAACACTGACTTATACATCGGCTGGCAACCGCAATTCATTGCATAGGTGACATACGCATCCATACGCCTCTACGATTCTGAGTGGAATTCGAATGCGTGGGCGCATCTCTCAGATGGGATCGATTAACGCCTCAAAAAGCTGGACATTATATTTTTGTACTTTTCAACTCACTGTGAACTTTCTTGTCAATTTCCGTCTGGATTTTTTTCTGTATATCCGAAAATTTCTGAACTGTTGTATCAAGCAACTGAGGAATGTTGGCGTTTTTAATTTGATCAAGTGTTCTCTCGACCATCGACCAAATTCCCTGAAATAGAAAAGTTCCATATTCAATGCTTTTTTAAAGATCTTTGTGGTGATTGTACTATGAAAGTAGTATTGATTGAACGTACCAGATCAATATCTAGTCGCTGTGGTGCCATTGTTTCCAAAGTTTTCTCCGCTTTGAGACAGATTGCTTTCATTGATTCCACTTCATTTTGAAGACACTCTTGTAGCTCAGTGATCAATGTCGACCGCATACGTCCGTATTCTATCTGAAAATCACCTATTACTTATTGATTAGAGCCTGATACAAGTTACAAGTAGGTATGTAGGTGCATATTCTTTAGAATTGAGGTTAGGTTGAACTCAGTGGCGCTCTTCCACACAAATGCCCCTGGCATCGCATGCCTGTGTGGTATTCGCCCAAGGCAGCAGCCCTTTTATCTCCAATGGTCGGATAACTGGTAACCAGCTTCTTTTGGATGAAACTCGGAATCCGTTCCGGCTGGCTCCCACAAGCTATTGTACAGGCCTGATACGCATATAAACGCACTACGATTCAGAGAGAAGTCAAATGCATGGCACTTCCCGAACCAAAGGAAGGAGCTCAAAAAAAATCCTTCACATTTTATACATTTCACTTGTCTGAATTCCACTACTGCGAAGATTGCATCATTAACACCAATATTCCGGACTACAGTGATAGCAAAAAGCCTTCAGGGTTGTTGGCTTGATAAGTGGTCCTTCACTTTCCCTGTCCTTGGAATGTTCCTACCTGGTTCCCAAACGAGCTTTTTTGCAAACTGAGTTTCAAGTGGTGTTTGTGATACAAAACAGGACTCAATGACGCAGTCCCTTATTGCACATCGAGATGCGAACACAACACGTAGGGCCCAGGCGTCCGTTCGCTTAGCTGACCTCCGGGTAATCGATCCGCCGCACGCGGCTGTCGCGGACCATTCGCCTCGTTATAACAGTTCTGCGTTTTTCATACAGCTCAATCGCCACGCGATTATTACTTTAGGCATGATTCTAGTGTAATTACTTTTGTTCCTGTATTCATTACTTGCTGCTGCATTCTGCTACATTCCTTCGCGCGCGGCGTCTCCCTCGCCGCGACGCGACAATTTCGTTCTTACTGCAAAACACCCCTGCCCTCGTGGTTACCGCGTGCACATATACGCCTATTGTGGCCACCCACAAAAGGAGTTCGTAGCAGGTCACAATTATCAACTCAAAAAAACTAGTAATGTAAAAAAAACTCCAAACCGAATTTATGACAACGTACGTCATACTTTGAATAACCCTCAATGATTTGTTTGACCTCCACGCGTGTATCCTTCAGCATTTGATCGATTTCTACTGCACCTAGACACGGATGTCAACAGATAAATTTTGAAAATGTAACTGTAAGTAGTAAGACCCAGGCTCAGGCTTTTCTTCCCTGTAGAATACATTGACTTACTTTTACTAATATTCATAAGCGCATCAACCGTATTCGCGCCAGTAAGCTTCTTGACTCCTTGAACGACTTCGTGCCCAGCGAATGACAACTGCGAAGATACCGTTCGATTCAACATTTGGTAGTCGTCGATCAATAACTTTCGTATCCTCTATAAATACGCACAGTAAACAAGTTATCTCTCCATATATTAAGCGCTAATCTTGCCGGTTGCATTTGTTTTGAGTGCGATTCCTTAAAAATCACGTACGCGCATTACTGTGGCTGCTTTTATAGTCCACGATTTGGCCCGCGAGCGACCGACCGACCGATCGATCGAACGAGCGAGCGAGCGGGGGACTACTCGTTTTGCGGTATCGACCAAGATTTAGTTGTGAACAAGGGGCAAGCGCAGCCCCCGATCGCTCGCTCGCTCGATCGATCGGTCGGTCGGTCGCTCGCGGGCCAAATCGTGGACTATGAAAGCGGCCTGTCGCAAGATGGACCTTTTTGGTTCTTTTCACTCATAAGGCGATCAAATCTGTAGAAAAGAGAGAGGCAGTCTAGGAGGAATTCCGCATTGGTATCAGTTGGTATAAGACATCATCAAACCCCTTCTTGCTATCTTGCTGATGGTCCTCTGCTACTTCTCTGTGCATATAATCCCAACTTAATGCAACCGAGGTTTTGAAATTGTTTACAGAGTGTAAGGAGCCTTTCATCCACAAGTTCTTCACCCTTATAACTGATTTCCAGAACTGAGATCTGAGTGGGATTTTTTGAAACATTATCGTATATACGAAACAGAAAAATGTGTCAAATTTCTCTTTGAGTAAGATCCCAGATAAGCGGTTGTGGGCATGTGATGCTTTACTTTGAAAGTCAGTTAAATCCAAAAACTCAAGACTTTTCCAATCATAACCATTAGATGCGCCCTCTATCGGAGGAAATAGTGGAACGAAAGATAGCTACTGGAAGCTTTCTATCAAACCTAAGGAGCACACAGGTAAGTGCGCTGCTATCACTGGTAAGTACCCTTAAACATGTACAAGCTTACTATATATGGCATATGGCAGAGAGAATGAAGAAGTCGGAAAAGAGAGAACGAGATCAAAATTAGTGAACTTTAGCTCGAACTTTACAAACTCACAGCATCGGTGTCTCGTTTGTAAAGATTCAAGTCGTCAATGCAGTAGTTCAAACGATTTGGCAATTCAGCTAGTCCATACTCAGCATACTGTCCCGTAATCAATAAAGTTGCCGCTGCGAATCTGCAATCCAGAAAAAAATGTCAGTATGAGTCAGGAGGCGCCTTTTGACCCAATTCTGCTTTGCGCAAGAGCGGTTTTTTATCCACATATTCTTCTAATCGTTGCTATACTTGCCGACGTAGGTGAAAAAAGAGAAATAGATAAGAATACGCTCCAAAACACCGAAATTCAAGTGATCTCTCGATTTTCATTCAATCTTAAATGCTCGACGCACGCAACGGTGACTCATTTGCTCTGGACACTCGTTCTTGACTGTATTAACCGCGAAGTCTCCTGATTTCCACACCTTTTCCCGGAGACATCGTTTCAGAACAATCAGTTCCTGCAATTTCATACTTGGGGACTACTGCAAAAGTCTGGGCGACCGCGGCTCTCGGGACCCCTGACGGATTCCTCGTCGTAGTCCCGAACTACTCTCGTGGCGTACAACGAGTGGTGGAAGTGCATCAAAGCGCTGAATCCGGAATAACCTCGAGCGACCAGTTGACGGGAATACATTCGTTCCAACAAGAAAGCTCGGGAGAAAAAAACGGGTCGCACGGGTCGCCTGATAACTACGGAACTGGTATTACTCTGAGTTATTGGCGTCTTTTAGCATCGACTTCGTTTATTGCCTTTGTAAGCAGTGATTGAAGACGCCTCATTACCCATTTGTTCCAAGGTAAGAAGTACAGCAATAAATCTAATAAGTGCCAAAGGACTTTGATGGGCTCTTTTCCCCCCAGTCGGGTCTGTTCCACATACCTACGAAACGATTGCAATGACTACTTTACATTCCATTCCCAAAGGATTGGAAGATATCAATACGTTACAATAAAGTGTTTACAACGTGACTACTAAAATATTTTATTCGGAAAAGGTGGAGATGTTCTGGTAGGTACGAGTTACCACGGGTAAAACAAGTTCTATTTCGTTTGAGTGGAGTCGAACTTCTTAAACGTCACGAGACTCAGCCAAATAAATGAACTTCAACACCTTTTCTGGACTGAACATGCCCAATAAAGACAGTGGCCTCTGCCTTCATCAATTATGTATGCACTGGTAAAGTGGTGGGTAAAATTGAGAAATTACATTACTTAGAAAATTCTTACTCACAACTGAAAACACTTAAGGGCACAGTTCACGATTATTTTGAGATACCCGTTTTTAGTTTTTATTCGAAAAGTGGAACTATAGGAACTATAGATTGGAAACAGTTATCGGTAGTAAAGAAAGCGAGAGAATTCGTTAATTTCGAGAAAAGTATGGCTCCTCATTAATAGGGAAAATAGAGGTTGGACGAGATTGCCATGACGGAAATAACATGGGGGGGGGGGAAAGGGTATTCGGACGAGATTTCAGTTATTGCAATTGCACAAAGAGCTGACTCCATCAAGCCAGAACTGTACAGAACTGTCTTTCACTATTGCTATGGGTAATGACAAGTTGTTTGTACTGACTACATGTGTTCTCTTGTGTTCGGTGCAGCCTCTACAATGCCGGTGAATCTCGTTCGAGGACACACGGACCAGTCTTTGAGCCTTTATAACTCCCTAAATAAGCCGTTTTCCGACCTCATAGTGCCAGTTAAGGTATACGCGGAGGTTCAAATTCATCCTATGGGCGAATCTCAGAAACCATTTTTGTGGTGAACTGTGCCTTTAAGGTCCGTTCATCATACATACTGCTTACATATAAACAGTCTTCGCTCATTTGAATTTGAGCAAAATTGAATACCATTCGATAGGGCTGTAGGTCTCGTACTGTAAGCCCAATTACTACTCGATTACTGCTCTTTAACTGTGAGGAGGTTTTGGTATAATCGTAAGCAACTTTTAGTAATGCATACCAAAGTGTTGAATTCTTTCTTCGACCTCTTCAAAAATACCGCTATTACAAGATTTTGAAATGACGATGAAGTACAACTTACACGTCTAACAAAACCAGTAACGCCATAATCGCATTCAAGGAATTCCGCTTGCACCCGTCGAAACGTGAATCTGTATTCTCCTTTCTCGACGAGCTTGAACAACAGCATACGCAACACCTAGAATTTGAATGTTTTTCTTATTTAGCTCACTTTGACCACCCAAAAACCTAGTCTCTGTGGGTCCCGCTGAAGAAACAGCACTGAAAAAAGATTAACTGAGACCCTGATACTTTGTAATTGTTACTACCTAAACTAATAAGTAAGTTTTTGGACCACAACGACTACTAATGGTGCAGGTCAAAATCTTCCTCTCTGGGATGGATCAAGAAGGAGATGAAATGGAAATGGAAAATTCGCCAATCAAATCATTCAGAGTACGTTTGACTGGTTAGATTTTGGAAATGAAATCGGATTAATTCTTCTTCTGACGAATGTAAAGTTCTATTTGAAACTATAAAAACGAATCAATTTGGGGTTACAGTGCCTTTGAAAACAGTAGAAATCGGCAATAGGCCAAAATACAGGAGATTGATAAAGCCACCACTAAGGGAGAAAACAGAATCCAAGTAAAGCAGAGCTAGAAAAACACAAAATGGTTTCTAGACTGTGCAGTAGCCGAGAAGACTGGATAAAGATGTGTAATGAAGGGGGCCATGTTCAAAAACTTTCGAAGCTTCACTTGATGTTCTGTTGAGTGTTGTTATTTCGCTGCGGTACGCAAAGCGAAAGCCTCTCGAGGTTAGCGAGTTATGGTCGAAATTTGCCTCGGACGGGAGTCGAACTCGTACTTGTGCTATGCGAGGGTCGTGCTCTATCCCTTACACTACTGAGTCGTCCGACGTCAAAGTTTTGTCCATAACTCGTCATTCTGATGAGACTTTAAGAGTGGTTTCAAGAACAGTCGCATGACTGAGAACAATTTGAGAGGGCAGGAATCCTCCTACAGTGTTTGAAGCGTGGCATCAAACATTAGTAGCCTACGGCAAAACTCTACTTCTACTCGAGTGGAGACATGGAAATTGGGAAAAAAGTTAAAAGACTAAAATTCAACAAAGTTTTGTGATGTAGGATTTTCTAACAAGAAACAATTCAATTATGAAGAAATTTACCTGTAGAATATATAGAGAAAAGGCAGCAAAAAACCGAGCAAGACTACCACACCAGCCGTAAGAAGCCATCCTCTCTGCCAGTACCACCACTGAAACAAGTAACACTTACATTTTTTTTACAACAGTAGGTAGGTTATGCTGCTATGCTTGTTGTTTTCGCAATGTCGCCTCAATCGCTTTGTGGGCAGTATTAAGCCCTTGGGTAGGGTGGTCATTTGATGAATCTGGGTCTAGGTCTGGGTCTCATGGTCAGTAAAATTTCTTACCAAACGCTATGCCTGCCTCATGAGCTTCTCCGATGACTAATTGAGAGACTGAGAAAACCACGTTGCCTCCTAGCGGTAAAAGTAGGTAAAAGTAAATCCCTCAGAGAGATTAATACCACTCCCTCCCAGTACATCCGACAGACGCTTCACTCTGATTATAACTCCATTAAAGTAATTACTGAAGTTCATTACCCATGCGATTCGTGGATCGTTGCACATGGGGTAGTTGAAGGCTACTACTGTTGCATTCATATGCAACCATGTGAAGAGTATGATTACAGCTAACTACTGGTCCCTTCAATCATTGATTACAGCGAGAAACTCAAATTCTTGGAGCTGAAGAAAGACTGGAACGTTCAAAGAGCAGGATATTCCATCGCTCCAAGCTCGATCGCTTCAAGCATAATTTTCAACGAATGGTGGACGTGTTGCTACCTTCCAACCATCTTTTTATGGGCCGGAATTGGTTTTTAAGAAATAAGTCTACCGGAAAGTTTGTTTTTCGAATCCAATGCCAACATTTCTTAAGTCCTTTATCATTACGAACAATTCCAGAAAACCCTATCCATATTGCTTGCTACCCCTGTGAGCGAGAATAGCTTACTCAATGGAACAACATCCGCGCCTCTAATCCAATTAAAATAATTGTCCTCTAGTCAACAATGGCTCAACATCGATCATCGAGGAAGGAAGTAAGGAGCCGCACAAGGCGAATCGCTGCTGAGAAATGGGTTGTCAAGTGTGTCACAGATGTTAGCAATAGAAGACGAAAGTAAGGTTGAGCCTTGTAGTTCCGCTCTGCTAACAATAAGTCTCACATATTTAACCATTTGTAGTAAACACCATGTAATTGAATTCTGCTAAAAATCATTCCCTGTTTTGGAAGTATAAAAGTATATATACGGTGATTATACAACACCGATTGAATACTGGTTAATTATTACACAGAACTTTCATATCGCAGCAAGAAAAAGGCGTAATCATTAAGCTTTTACGACAAAAAAATGCAGATGGTAGTGAAAGACGGTGATACCAGTACGCGATACGGTATTAATAGCTATTACTACTTATCACTACTTTGGTCTTCACATTTAATTGGGATTCAACGAATTCCATTGCCATCAAATTTGGAAAAAGCAGCCAAAGGTTTCTTCTCCCAAAACAGTACCCCTTTCTGGTCAACAAATGGCGGCCGAACCCAGCGGTAATTTTGCAGTTTTTGTATTTTTCCACGTGCTCATTATGGATTATCTCACAACTGCGTCTCTCCAATTCATTGCTAATACAGTTCTTCTAAATTTTTGGAGATGATCAGTAAACCAGTAAGATCGCCCTGATTTTGAAAGTAAACTCCCACAACTGATCTTGAAAATAGTGTTCAGGATCAAGCACGACGTTCTTTGAAAACGGCCCTGTAAGTACGTAACTGTAGGTACGTTCGTCCACTAGCTCCAACGGGAATATCCATTTGAACTTCCTCTAACTTTATGATCAACTTCAAAACCTCAGAGGGAAATGAGGGTCCTTATAACACCTGCTCAGTCTATAGAGAGCGGATCGTGTTATCCTGCGAGGAGTAAGGAAAAGACGAATGCCTCAACTTTTTTGACTCCTAAAGACCATTTATAACCGTTTTATTTGGAAACCGCATGATTTTTGCCCTCAGAACAGTGGTGCCATTTTACCGCAAAATACTGTTAAAATATCCTTTCTTGCAGAAATAGAGCAGAAATAAAGAATGAGGGTAAAGTCTTTGGCACCGATCTGCCCGTTTCGGTGATGCGCCCCTGCACCGTCAGGATCGTAATGATGTTTTTGAATGCGTGTGTGGTCTATGTGATCTATACAACGAGTTGCGGTGGCCAGTCGACAAGTCAGTACTTTTAGTAACCCAGACGAGTCTGGTACCAAGTGACCGACTCTGGAGGTATTGAAAGGTTAGTTGTCGTGGGCGAGTATCGATCCGAAATTTGACAGTGAACCACGCGTCTGTGGTGGTACGCCATTTATCACTACATCCTTTTGCAGTGATATCACCTCGTAGTTATACATGAATATTTACCTGAAGAACTACACTTTTCTCTCTGAAGAAAAGACAAAGTACCCTTACTACTGCATGGGGGTTAGTTCATAAACCCTGAAATGCACCGAAGGCTTTCACTGGCCGAGAATTTTGCTCGATTTCAGAAATCGAGCACGAGGTACGCAAAAACCTCCGAGAATTCAAATTCTTGGCCATAATTGCTAAACCTCAAAAACATTTGCCCATAAATTCAATTAGCTTAAAAATTGAAATTGAAAGCAAGTTCATGAAGTATTACAATACAGTGAAGATGTTTAGTCGTTAAGTCCTACTCGACTTTAGAAAAACAAAAACTTGAATGAGAAACCGGTTTCTAATCATCGTCACGCATTTGGACAAATGAGAAAATATCAAGAAGAGACCGTAGGGTCCGAAAAATCAAACCCAGGGTTTGTATGGGTGAGAGCGGTCAAGCCATCCCCTTGACACAAGCCACACAATTGCTCTTGCTATTGAGCCATTTGGAAGTATTGGAAAGATCACAAATGCTCCCAACAGGTACTCTGGAGATTGCTTTTGAACGGGTTGACTAAGGTGGATTTCAGGAATGGATGGCATGGATTGAAGATGATAAAAAAAAAAGAAGTTGCAGAAGGGAGGCATCACCAACTGGAAAGTTGAGCTCTGGTTTTTCAAGGAGCGCTGAGTAATACTGTACTAGTTTTTTTTTGCAATACATTATTAATACTTAATATTAATACTATTAATAATTAACAATATTCTTTTTGAGTTCCATGAATTAGTTTTTTTCTTTTATCTTTGTTTACTTTTTTTTCTTTACACGTTAGCTTCGTTGATTGCTTTGTTTTCCTTGGTCTGTTGGTATCACGGTGCTAATTTGATCATCTCCACATGAGTTCAGCTCATGTAATAAATAAATAAATATATATATATATATAATACATTATTTTATAATGCGATGAATCGTTAGAATAGGAAGATTCGTCAACTTATTCCCAATCCCCTCTTTTCTGTTACTTTCCTCCTTTGATAGGAGGAACTATTAGGAATCTGCTCAGTTTGCCTTTCCCCATTTTTTCACTTTGTGTTCCTTGCAATCTTATTTTCAAAACAGTAACGTACAGTTCAGTACCGTGTAGTATCGTAGACTATCATTAACAGACAGGGGTGGCTATTTGGAAAGTTCTTAGTGTCCAGGTCCTCAGTGGGGAAATCCGTTCCACACACGAACTAGCCACGGGTCAACTCACGTAATCTATTTATTCAAAGTGTTAGCTAACTCAACGCGCAGTCAAACAACAAGACTTCTCGGAGCATCAACGTCCAGGCTGATGGTCACCATCAAAATCATCACTACAGTACTAAAACAATACCAAATTTTAACTTACATCCACATATTTTGTTTCAATCGATAACCGCAATTCGTTCACATCACCCATCAGAGCTTGTCGGTTTAAGAGCTCTGAAAACAAACAGTCTCAGTGTCTTGTCCTCCATGGTGGGAGGAAAAATAAACAATCAAACAGAAAATATCGTTTCCTTTCAAACACTCAGTTCAGGTGGTCATAGATATCTGGGATATGGATATGGATTTCACTTTTCATCCAACAAGTCTGTCATCCATTCAGTATACCTACTTGGCACGATGCCAAGTAGGTATACTGAATGGATGACAGACTTGTTGGATGAAAAGTGAAATCCATATCCATATCCCAGATATCTATGACCACCAAGTTATCGAAGAAGTAAACAGGATACATTGTATTAGTTACCCATGAGCTGCCTACTTATTTCAGGCAAATTCCTCCCCCTCTTGTTCCTTCATGGTCCCTTGTTTATTGTCTGCAACCTTCTGAGGACCACATCTCATTTGTTTTGGAAATTTAAGCTTCAGGGAATATGATACTACTACAACAACTACTGGATTGCTGTTGATGAGAGCTACATTACAAGAAAAATTCCGAGGGCCAGGACATACTTTATGGAGAACTCTCGGATTACTAGTCAAATTACTTATATGTACCATATATGAAGTGGCAAAATCATTGTTTCATCGCAATTCTGTGGGCCGGGGCCAAGCATTACAAGCTTCAACAACTAAGCAAAACAATATCTCGGAAACAAGTCCTACTGGTAATAGTTCGGTAATTCGATATTTTCTTGTGAAGGTGTAGGGAAGGGCTCATGTGTTTATTTATTCTTGGCACACCACCGACTGACCTAGATTTCACAAATTCAAAAGGCCTCCGAAAATCAAACAAAAAACTGTATCCCCAATGTGATATTGACACGAAATAAATGCGACCCCTCGGAAAAACTACTTGTACTAACGGTAACTGTTAATGGTGGGTGTTTAATGGCCATTTGGCCAAAGTAAAGGTTCAAATTGAATCGATTGCGTTGTGAATCGATAAAATAACTCTAATTATATTGTACAATTTATTACTTTGCAAGGGAAAACAAAACATCTCAAGAAGCCTCCAAGATGGTTGATGGCCGTTGATCGTTACGCTTATGAGACACTCCACCTTGTTCAGGTACTCAATCATAAAATAATACTAATTTCTCCTTTTTATCACCAGATACCTACTAATTTGCTGCCCCTCGTTCCTCACTGTTCGCTCTACAGCAGTATTACTCCAAAAGTACCCCTCCATACGCGAGACCCTGCAACTATTGTAATTCTCTAGTTCGTTCCCATGAGACTATTCTTACTTCTGTACTATATCGATGAGTCCCTTCCTCTTTTTTTCGGAGGCAGATCTTCTTCTTGAACGGCTTCGTTGATGACATCGTAGACCTGTTCCCCCTGATTTGATGCGATCACGCAGCAGGAAGACGACGAGACGTCAAGCTGCGCTCTCCTCCCCTTCCCATGTCCGTCGCGATGTAATGTACGTGGTTTTTGCCCAAACTGCATAACACATGTGAAGTTCTTCTTTAAGGCTTAAATGCTGAGACTGATGGACGCCCGATAAGATCGCGATCGGCGGTGGTGGCGAAACGAGCGATTCGTCGCTTACGTCTCGTGCACCTCGTGGATGACCGCTTTCTTTGCAAAGAGGAAAGCCACCACCACCACCACGATCAGCATAGGAGCTCGTTCGAGTGCTTGCTCGCGCTCCCAATACAGGAATGTACGAGCTTCAGCTACAGCTCTAACGATTTCTCACTTGTGTTGGAGATATTTCATCCCATTTTGGAAACAATTTCCATCTTCGGTATGGGAATTGGTAGATTAGCGCGGTAAGCAAGTTAATGGGGGACAATGGGCGGTTGAGCGTTTCATTGTGGTCACGAATCTTGGAAACTTGACACCCACAGCCGTCTGTCGCCGCTACTACAAACCACTATAATGGATCAGTAAGACTGGATTGACTTATTGCTGCTGTTATATACAAATAAAAAGTAACGATTTCGAAAGCTTCAACTTGTTGTCAAGCCGGTTGAGAACGGCAGAGTGCACACGACAAAAGTAGCCTCATAAGTGGGGGATTGATTGGACCGGCAACAAGAAGTTGTCTCATAAAGCGGGCAAAGGAAAAATAAGTGAGACTAGTCTCATTACTAGGCATGTCACCTTTCCAAAACAATGTCCAAAGTTAGCCTCATTCCACATTCACTCCGACGAAGGGGCGAGAATTCTGTCATTGAGTTACGTTCCATGCTGTGGATTTCCTTTCTTCTAGCTCTCATACAATCTAATCACTACTCTAAAAGAGGTTTTCGATCTCTTTTTGAGATTAGCAATCACAGCTACCTCACTTTACCTCAGAAGGGCTTACCAGTTTGCAGCAACAAGTAGATTCCGAAAGGGGAATGACAAAGAAAAAACGGAATGACGCTAATGAGTTGGCAAGCGGAAACTCAGCGAAGCCCTCGTAGTCCAAAACGGAACAATCGTGGCACTCAAGGAAATAAATGCAACCTTGGAATACGAGCAGAAAATGGATTTTGACCAGCATGAAGTCAGAAATAACTCGCTATTGTGAAAAAGGGTGAAAAGTTTAGATTACTAGTGAGTAACAGTAGACAAACCTTCATGAGGGAATTTGTTCGACAGCAGTGATATGAAATGATTAATACTTGAATAGTAGTAGTTGAGAGTTTTGTCTTCGATACGATTCTGTAGAAATGCACCACATTTGTATTGCTCTGATGGACGATATGGTGTGAACTCCATGGCAGAGCTCAGAGCGAGCAAAGACAAAGTCACCGTCGGCAGCAGCATTGCTCACGACGTTGACATGCTGCCTTTCTAAATGGAAAACAATGAACAACTGGTCATGTTTTGGCTTCGTTCCTGAAATTTTGGGTGGCCACTCAAACGATGAGCACGAAAAAAGTTGAAAATCTGGCGATGAGCATCTTTAAAGCAAAAGGATTTCGGGGGGTTTTTTTGACCGGACGTTTTTTCCGTTCAGGGAAGCACTTTTGAGTGTGCTCAGTCATTCCACCAACAAATATACCAAAATTAGCATAAGACTTAGGCTACATGAACAAGCCCTAAAGAAAACCCGTTAGGACCGAAGAGAAACTGCTGGAAAAGGGTGCCTAATCGCATAACATGAACGAGTTTCTGCCTCAAGCAGAGAAAATATTCGGCAAAGGAGGTACAGATGAGGTCCGTTAACTTAAAAATCATTCGATAAAAGAAATCCTTGAAAAATTAGCCTTTTAGGAGAGAAAGTAGAAGTGCACGGAAGTGGTTCCCAGAGTAGTCTTTGTCTGTCTCTTCTAAAGGGCAAGAAAAAAAGACGTGAGCTTGGAATCACGGAAGTGGCGACTGTTTTGTTGTCGGGGTGTTGGCGATTCCGCGCCGAACTTTTCCCCACTCGACCGTATCGGACATATTGTGGTAATCCTCATTGTTCAAAACGATTTTCTGGACACGGGTAAAAGTTTTGACAAAGTTTACTGATTGCGACTGAATGCAGTAGGTCAGGGCTATTCGATCCACGTCCACGAAGAAGTTCCCACAAACAACCTTCAATCAGTACTCCTATGGGATGCTCAATAAAACCTAGGAGATGGATGAGTATCGATTGAATGTAGATCATAACTTAGGTATCATTTAGAAACCCATGAAACAACATCGAAAAAAGTTTCGAAATGAAATGACCATTGAATAAGACGAAAGCAAAGTAAACAATCATTCCGGTACAACAGCAGACTTTTTAAAGTGGAAATTTCCAAAATAATCAAACTAACGGAGAACTAGTATGGCGTACTGGTTAACTAGTTATGAGAGGTGATGAATATTCAACTTAGTAGTCTCAAGAGCGTTTACCCATAAGATGATTATTTTGCAGGAAATGAGCATGAGGGATGGGAACATGGGGGTGGTAGAGGTCTGACCGAATCGTGTCGTCGTCAGTCTGCGCACCAACCCTCCGCCCCCACTCTCGCCCACCTCTAACGACCCGATCAACTTCAGTACAAGGGCGTGATCACCCCATTTTGATCTTCGTTGATCAATAATCAGGATAACGAGCTAAGCTTCTGGGATGAACGTGAAGAAGTGAATTGAAGATTATTTTGGCAAAAGTGAGCAACTAATCTTGTTAACTATGCTAATTAAGAGTGCGTGAGCCTCAACGGAATCTTCGTCCAAAGAACCGGGCCGATTTCCCAGATAAGAATCTCTCTCGTGCGTAACTATGAGCCACTAGTTACACAGGTAATATATGGGGAAATCAAATGTAAACAAACACGAGACAATTCGATAAACAAATCGTTCGACACGGAACGCTTATTAGATCAGCACACATCAACCGATTCACGGAAAGCAATGAGAGAACCCCATTAGTGAATACCCATCTATGCAAATCAAAAGCGAATGTAAATTCATATAATGGCGTTCAATGGCTCAAAACTACTTGATCATTTGATAACTAGTATTGTATTGTTATATTTCATGAAGTTATTATGATATTTTAAAAACATATTTGTGCAGGTATAATGAATTGGGGCATACAAAGCTTTACTGGTTTACCATTCTAAATTCTACACAAATGATTTTTTGAAATTTTGATTTTTTTAGGTACCCCAAAAAATTTGGTATTTCCTTGGAAACAGTTCTTCACAATTTTTTTAAGTTTGATTATTCAAAACCCACACAAAAATAAAAGTGCCGGAAATTGAATCTACGCGCGCTATATTTAGGCACGGGAGATCGACAGTTGAGATAACTAGACATATTTTTGATTCAGTTTGATATTGTAGCTCAGCGAAATTAGTAGGCATTACAAGTAAGCTTTTAAGCTGAAGTACTGTAATTCTTGTAAAAGTAAAGAATTGCCAGATCATTTAGTGACATGTTTCAATGTATCAGCGTTTTTTCTAGGCTCGCAGGTGTTGATGAGGATTCTCCTGCAGCGACATTCTTCAAATGAAAAAAGGGGTTACGAAACCTCTTCTGATTGCAAAAGTTGACGTTTCATCACTTTCTGCCCTACAACTCGAGTAAATTCCTGTTTTTTGTCTTTCACATGCAACTTCAGTGCATTTCATCTCCCCTCAGAGCCCGGTAACGGTCGTCTGTCCTTCAGTTCCAGCACCACAATGATCCTGTAGACGAAATCCGATTGAAATTTCTGGAGAATTTTGTACGAGAAGCCTCTTTTATAATTTCATTTTCATCTCGACAAAAAACAAGATTTTTTCATAAGTTGATTCTATTTATAACGGTCACTTAGCGCGGATTCGAAAAAAACCACCCTTCAGCTTGCCACCAAAAATAGAGCTGACCATTTTTAACTAAACAATTTGCAAACTTACTTGCCTGTCCTAATAATTACAAGGGCTGGCAGCTTCTCTAATGAGTGGACAAATTGGTATACTAAACAGTGCCATGACGTCCGTTCTGTCCATGATGAAACACAAAATCATTAGGGAAGTGATGACAGAACATGGCAGGGCCCAGAGCAGCCAGACTACAATAGAAATAGACTACAAGCGACTGACTGGTAATGGTAAGCTCAAGAAAGAGTTGAAATGGAAAAATGAAACCAACTCGAAAATCTCCCATGTGATATGTCGATATGTTCGAATACCAATTTTAATTACAAATTTGTCTTAGGACAGTACACCTTCGGGAGCATTTTCGGGCACACTGTCCTTTGTGCATTAGTTGCTCCAACTTATACAGCATGTGCTTCCCAGGCATATGGAATTGAAGCGGATGATCGATCTTTTCTTTGTATGCGCTTATTAAGCAGAAAAGATCTTTCTCGAACGTTCTTTCGATACACCATTCACGCTGTTTATTAACAAAAGAACGCCTGGATGTATAGATTTGTAATGCTCATCATCGCGGTCATTTGGTCCGTTTCGCCTTTTTGGACCTACTGCTAGAGTTCAGTCAAGGTTGCTGAAGCGAAAATTGATTCATAGGCAAAAAGCAATATCATTATCTGAGAGGGGCATACGTCAACTACATATCTCCGCCATAAAGTGACATTTTGAATTTATTAAAATTATCTATTTCCGTGACAAAGTCATTCCTTTCCATCCTCAAGAATTCGCCAATGAAAATGAATCATGAGCACTTAAGCAAAGATGATTCAACTTTGAAATTATGTAGAGAGAATGATTCATATTATATGCACATGCAAACACTGCTTACGGGTTTGGAATAAATGAATTTCGAGAACTGAAGATGAGTCTATAAAAAGCCGATGTGGAAATAAAATTTTGTAAAACTCGTTAAGGGCGGAGGTAGTGTAGTGGCAAGGGGCGCAATATCACACACGCATTGCCAAGGGTTCAAATCCCGAA